GGGGGGGGGGGGGGGGGGGGTTATAGAATTAGGCGCATGGAGTCGTTCTGTCAGAAGTAAAGCCGGATCACGGAGAAATGGGGGAGTACGGCAACATCTCTTTCTCACTTTATCCATTCGATTTGTTTTTGAATCGCATCATCCGTGCCAAGGTCTGTCAAGTCGCCGCAATGAAGGAGGACGTCCTGGAGATCCCATCGGGAGGAAAGGGGGGGCGAGGGTGGGTCAGTGTGACAGTGCACTGCACTGCAGTCCTCTTTATCCCCTTACCAGAATAAAACTTTCCTCGTCACTCACGCCATCTGGAACATGTGGTTGGGTGGAATGAGTGTCCGATACAATGACGAATCGTACGTGAGTTTCCGAGGTGATCTTTGGTGGATTAGAGAGCTCGTAGTCTGCAAAGCAGGTGACGCCTGTGCTTTCCTGCTCGAACATCTCCTCCCTCGAGAGACCGATTTCGCGAGCTTGTTTCACCCTGTTCTTGACTGTCTACCTTGGGGTGATAGTTGTGCGATCTTGCGGAAGATATTAGACAGGGGCGGTCAGTAGGTGGAGGAAGAAACCAAGAGGAGGGAGCAGACATTTTCTACTCCGTCGAGCAAGACCAGACTTACACTCGAGTTGCTACACCGCAAGCAGCTGGGCTATCTGGTCTCCGGCTCGTGCATTCAGACTCATTTTGTGGAGGATGAGGGTGAGGGTGATCCTTGATTCAATCAATGAACTACATACGTCCCTTTCCTCCCTCGTGTCATTATCCTCGCGCGCGCGCATGAACCTTCGAGGCAAGCGAATGAGTCAGACGCTCCCGAAAACTTGCGGATGAGGGGTGATCTCCCTCTCTGTCCCTCCTCAAATTTCGCCAATGGTCCGCATTTCTTTTGACTCTCTCTTGGCATCGTATCAAGACCCAGAGACCTGCACACAGATTTTCATCGAGGATCACGATCAATAGAGTTTTTTTTTTTTTTTTTCTCGAAGCGAAAAAAAAATCTTGCCATGACAGGTGAGGTTCCAAAGGTCTCGTTGAGTGAAGCGATAGGAACCGTAAGCCATGTGAGAAAAGGGGGGAGATGATAGCAACGGGTAGGCTGCCGCAAGTGTACAAACTTGGTCAATCGATAAGTACATTTTTTTGAGAAAGGTAAAGGAATGTTGAAAAGGACAAAAGGTGGACTGAGAGAAAAGGAAACCGAGTGGACAGAAGAGAGGGCCAGAGGTCGGTCGGTGGTGTGACAAGGAATGTGAAACCGTAAAAGTAGAGACTGTGTTGCCAACATAGATATGGCAAGGCCTTCCTTATCATGGAACCGACGCTGAGTTGAGATCAGTCTGTCAAGGAGGGTTCATCCTGATGAACGAAGAAGAGGAAAGGGAGCAAAGGGGGGATAAGGTTGTCACAGTGTGACGGCGTCTACATGATGGGCAGAAAGAATGCTCGAAGAAAGCCGGAGGGAAACCCTCACATGTAAGGGAGGGAGGTTCCAGAGGAACTAGAGACTACTCTCTTCCTTTCATTCAAGAGCTGAACCTCAAGGTTTTTCAGTCGAGCGGCCCCTTCGCGGGGATCGGCGTATCTTGGGCTCATCGGCGTGGGGCCATGGTATCCTCTAGAGTGAGAAGACTCCAGCCTGGGACTCGAGCTTCCGGAGCCTGGGAAACTGGCCAAGTCATTGGTCGCCATCCCCGCCGCCAAGATCCGTCCTTGCATGTCACCATCATAAAGTTGACTCATGTGGGTGTAAGGGTCGAACAATGATGTGGTAGCTGGCGTGGGTGGTGCGATCCTCGAGGCCTTGACATTATCCAGCTGCGCTGTGTCTCGGTTGTCGTCCGTGGATCTGGACAACGCTCGGACCCTGGCTCCAGGGGAATTGTCGGAAGAGTAGGCCGAGCTAGGCGAAAGGGGTAGGCCTCCCAATGCCGCCGACATCCTGGCTGATGGATGCCTGGCCGAAGATGAGGGTGCCCCGTTGATCTTGCCTTGATGATTGTTGCTGCCTTGCGCAGACATCCAGGGATAATGGCTCGCTCCTGCCTCCTCCGGGGTTCTTGGTGAACCAGCGCTTCCAGGTGAGTTGACGTTCGGTCTGGGTATTTGGATTCCAGCAAGATGACGAGATTGGTTCGGTGGCAGGGGTGGGACAAGCATCGAGTCAGGAACTACCCGACTAGAAAGCGGAGGGGGGAAAAGAGCCTCATCAGGAACGGTCGAATGAACGCTGTGAGCGTGGCTCAATACGCTCCCATTACCACCTCCCAGAGAATCGTGCCCGCGGTGCAAGCTGACAGAGCTTGCATGACCTACGCTGGCAGCACCTGCGTAAGGGGAAATCATTGCCATAAAGTCGTCGCTGTTCCTTCCGCCTTTGTGGCTCGCTTTGCCCATAGCCTGTGGCGTCCATCTCTTTGAGAAACCGCCACCTCTGCTCGGACTACCACCAGCCGCGATCCCGGTATGGGTGGTCCATACATCGCTCTCGGCCTTCTTCCTCCTGTACAACACAAACGCTGCCCCTAGGCCGCACACGCCCAAGATCGCAGCGAGTACACCACCCACGACTCCACCAATCACTCCAGCATGCGAGGACTTTTGCTCGGTGGCCTCATTTCCAGAGTTTCCAGAGGAGGTGTGAGAAGTGGATGAGCTTGAATGGGTCGGGCTGGATTTCCTGGCTGAAGACATGCGGGAGCTTGCGCTGACGGGTGAGGTCGATATAGAGGTGGCCTGCTGGGTTACAGTCGAGGTTGCGGCTGGCAAACCTATCACCTGGTTCCTTTGAAGCCTGCTTAGGCAAGACGTCGTTTTACTGTCTCCGACAGTGTAGAGCACGCCAACGCCACCGGTACCTGACTTGCCCTTATCATAAGCCACGAGGGTAAATTGAGTACCGGCAGGGTAGTTGATGGTCCAATCCAAGCTCTTGGCATTCCTTGAGGTCGTGGAAATAGTGGATGGCTCGCCCTGGACGGGCAGAACCGCAACATTGACAGGGAGCTCGAGTCCAGAATTACCTTTGTCCTCTTGGAACGCGATTTTCCAGTCATCACACTGGTCCGGACCTTTGTTCGGAATGTACCAAACGAAGTCAAGAGACTCGACCGAGCTGGCACATGAGCCTCCCTCCGTCGCAATCGTCTTAAGAGAGGAAGTGCCGGAGTACTTCCCACTGGCATCTGATACGGCGACTAAGAGCTGAGTGGCCGCATTACCACTGAAAATCGGGACGTCCCATTGCCAAGACCACATCTGCGAGGAAGAGGGAAGGTACGTCTTTGGGAGCTCGACCGTCGTCGGGACATGATTGAGAGGCGCAACAGTCACCGTCCAAGGCGCACTTCCCTTGGAGGCATCCCATGAAACGGTCATTGGTGAGCATGCCTTTGGATCACTAACTTCGACACCCAAAGGCGCTGCTGCTGTTATGCCTGCAAAAGCCGACACGATCAAAACTGCTCGTGTCTTGCTCTTCATCAT